ATAGCAAATTTCAATTTTCAAAACAATGTAAACAAAGTTTCCAAACAATTCAAAAAGAAGTTGCATCTGATAAAGTTTTGATACATTTTAACAGGGATTTACCCTTAAGACTTGCTTGTGATGCTTCCAATAATGGCATTGGAGCAGTTCTGAGTCATATCATGCCAGATGGTTCTGAGAGACCTATCACTTTTATTTCAAGGGTTTACACAAATGCAGGAAAACGATATTCTGTAATTCATAAAGAAGCTCTAGCTATTTACTGGGCAGTTAATAAGTTGTATCAATATTTAGTGGGTACAAAATTTGAATTACTGTCTGATCACAAGCCATTAAAAGCGCTTTTTGGTGAACACAAAAGTTTATCACAAATGGCAGCAGGAAGGTCACAAAGATGGTCTTTGTTTCTAAGTAATTTCGATTACACATTTAAACATATTAACGGGTCAAATAACAAAAATGCTGATTGCATGTCACGATTACCATTACCTGCTAATATTCAAAGTCCACAAGAATATGACTATATTAATTTTATTGAAGATCAGAATATAATAGATATTAACATGGTAAGATCAGAAACTAGGAAAGATCCTATTTTGAGTGCTATATACAACATGGTGCGTTATGGATTTTCCAATGACATCAATGACACTCTTAAACCATTTTTCCAACGGAAAGATGAATTATATATTGACAAAGGTGTAATCATGTGGGGTTATAGAGTAGTAATTCCAAAGAAATTACAAAATTTTTTGTTGAATGAGCTGCATTCTACTCATGAAGGTATTGTTAAAATGAAAAAACAATGCTAGATCCTATTTTTGGTGGCCTAACTTAGACAAGGCAATTGAGGACTTTGTTAAAAGTTGTAATATTTGTATGTCTATGCGTCCTGAACCGCCTAAATCTAAAATTATTTCATGGCCAAAAACTAATAGACCTTATGAGAGAGTGCATGCAGACTTCTTAGGACCAATTTCAGGTAAAAATATTTTATTGATTGTTGACACTTATTCTAAATGGCCAGAAGCATTTATTATGAAAAGTATAGATGCAAACAGCACTGTTGAAAAATTTAGAGAATGTTTTTCTAGACATGGCTTACCAAAAAAAGTTGTTACAGACAATGCTACTACATTCTGTTCAAAAGAGTTTTCTGAATTTCTTAGCAAAAATGGTATTAAACATGAAACTTCTCCACCATTCCACCCATCCACCAACGGCTTTGCTGAAAATGCAGTTAAAAGTTTTAAATTGGGTATGTTGAAGGCAATAAAAGATAAGAAAAACGCAAATAATTCTTTTGAAACCTTAATGAATCGGTATTTATTTCACTATAGAAATTCAATTCACATTTCTACTGGTACTTCTCCATCTCAGCTTATGTTTCAAACAAAACTGAGAAGCAGATTAGATTTGCTATTGCATAAGGAGCAAGGAAAGGAAGGAATGATGGAAAAGATTAAGAGAAAAGATATGGTATTTAAAGAAGGGGAAGAGGTATATTGTAGGGATTATAGAAATCCAAATAAGAAACAATTTGTGAAATGTATTATTGACGAAGTTTTGGGACAAAGAACTTATTTATGTGAAGTGGTTGGCGAAAATCTAATATGGAAGAGACATATAGACCAAATTGTAGGTTCGGTATCCCAAAATACTAATGTGAAAGAAAATGTAAGGGTTGAACCTTTAAAGGTACAGACTGAAAATGTAAATATACAGTCTGAAAATGTAAACGAAAAAGTAAATGTAGAGTCTGAAAATGTACATGTTGAACCTGTAAACATAGAGCAGGAAAATATTGTAAACAAAAAGGTAAAAGATTTTATTTGTAAAGAGGTGGCTTCCGCACCAGTTCGGCGTTCACAAAGAGTGAGGAAGGCTCCTCTACGTTTAAATTTATAAGAGGGAGTATTGTGATGTATCCGGTTTTTGGAAAATGTCAAAATGACAGATAATAAGAAGATGTCTACTGGTATAACGTGGTTGCATGTGCGAGCAAATAAAAAGTGATTTAAAAGCAGTAAAAGTGTGCAGTTTATTCTAGAAAAGTGTTTTACGACACACCAGATGTAGATACATAGAGTTCAAAATAAACGACCTAATGAGTAAAGAAATAATTCAAAACTACTACAATTCTTTCTTTTTTAAATGCTCACCCATGACTCGTACGATGGACCAAGATCATTAAGTCCACGTACGCTTTAACGAAAGGAAGTGTTAATGGTTTTATTACCCTATTGTAACGGAAAGGACAAGTCGTTCCAAGAGATAACATTCATAGGTGCAAATAATATTTCTTCAACTATACACTTACGACGACTGTAAAGAGCGAAGTGTCGGAGTCTACGGTTCACATGGAGCGTTATTTTCAGAGCTACATCATCTCCCACTACACTCATCCATGTAAAGAACGTGGGACACTTTCAATCGCAGTGTACCAAAGCATCAGCGACCATCGGCAACCACTACGTCAACGACTAGTTAGTGAGCTTCAAAACAGAGACCGTACGAATATCAATACAAGTTTCGTACAAATAAAGCAAGGCTAACTACTTCTACGATGATGAGGGTCTAAAGTTCAAGATTATTGCTGCCGAGTTCGAAAGGCGACATAAAATTATTCGGCGTGGTGTGGTAAAGGAGGAAGACACTCTATCCTTCAATATCAACGAGAACAGGATATCGGCTGAAGGTTTTATCTGCGACAAGTTACCTATCAAAAGGTATGTGCCGCCACACCTGTCACTACACAAGTCATAGGCATTATGCAAGACATCTGACGCATCAGCGTCGACTGGGATGTCTTCATCATCGCCTATCGCGGTTGGTTAGAAGACGTCAAACGTCGACCCAGTGAGGTCCTCAACGACCCTGATGATCTCATCATTGTAGCCACGTTACGGGCCAACCAGATCTCACATCCTTACCGGTTTGGACGAAGAGCACCCAAGTTCAGCGTGTACTCGTGCAGATTCTCACATATAGCACGCCTTTCCTGACAGAAGTGTCCATTCGCATCCTAAGCCGAGGTCCGTGTTCACATAGGCGCCCAAAGGGCCACTGCTTAAATTATTATACGAGTTAATAGTAAGAGCCATCAACAGCTAACTATAATATATATTCTTCAGTGCGCAGGGCACAAATTGATTCATGGTATCTAGTCCCGTTCTCCACCCGAAACAAATACGCCGCCGCCGCGCGTCGACCGCCCAGTTACCACGCTTTCACGTACATTAATGGCGAATCTGGATTCTATTTACTAGGCAACAACATTGTAATTCCTTGGAATAACATAATCGCGCGGCCGCCGCGTAGACCAAAGAAAAGCCAGTCTCGCCCGCGCGCCCGGGCACTCATTTAAGTTAAAACGTAAAAGCTATATAAATATAATGTATTTTGCCATGACTTACTTAGAATTCACAAATAAAAATTGAAAATAATTTGAAGTGCAACTAACAATAGAAACCGAACATCTTTGCACATCTGCTTGCAGGTTGAATACAATGTACCTAATTTTATTTAAGACCTTTATCATTACTGTATTCTGGCAAATAAACGTATTCTATTCTATTCAGTTAGATGCACGCCTGCAATTTCTTTGTTTGGACAATATCACACCTAAGTCTTAGTAATTGTGAAGGGCATAACATTAATATGTTTTTTTTTCCGTAATGCCATTTCTCTATTATGTTGTATACCACTTACATATATAACACTTACATTAAGATTGAGATGATAACCTGGCTTTAGTTCGTAAACTACGATGTGTGAGAGTATTGTTACGGACGACCAATCAGAGTTCCCGCTTGATGACTTTTTTGTGCATCGCAAAATGGCTTCCCGAGCTGTGATTGGCCGAAGCTTACGCGAACGTTAGAGATGTTCCGAACGAATCACGGTTTGAGTTTTTTCATTACGAAATTCGAAAGCTATTGAAGCTTGTTGTAGTGATTAATCGTTTGTATACTGTCCATAGAAGAAATCGATTAGCGATCCCAGGTAAAATAAAACTAAAGAGCTATAAAGTGTGTTATTGTAGGACATCAAAAACGACTTTCAGCACTGTGTAAAGTAACCTCTAGCGACCCCAGACACAATAAATACGCAAAAATTATTATAATATCGGACCCAACAACCTGTTTCACCCTTTCCAAAATTAGAACAATCTCGTCCTGAAATTCAGTTCATAATAAATAACAGCCAATGTGGTATCGATTAACTTAAATTGGTAATAAATTACATAAACTTACATAAGTATGTGCGTAACAAAACTACCCGTAACCGTTAATATTTAACTTAATACACATACATAACATATTCAACTTAAAAAGAATCACCCACTTTTCAAGGAATAATAGGGTATTTGGCACATATTTTTATTGCATCATGCAATTATGAAATAAAAATAGATGTGTAGTATTTCAATATGTCAATTAAAACATGCGCGTAACAATTTTATTTACTTAAATCTTGTGATTTAAATAAATAAAATTGTTACGCGCATGTTCCCCAAATCTTTCACGTTTTCAAATTTACAACCCCATTTTTATTATCAACCCTTCCCGAAAGAAAATTCGAGTTAGCGTAGTGTTAATGCCTGGCATCGATATGGTAATCTCGATGCTGAAGAGGGTAGGTTGCAGCAGGATAGTATGCAGTGTCGTGTTTTGGTTTATTAAATAGGTATCGACGAGTTGTTAGCTAACAGATTTTGAAGTACACTGTTTTGTAATAGTTTTTTTTTAGTTTTAATTTAATTGAAGATCATTTCATTATTAATACAATGATCGAAGACAAAGAAAAATTCCCTTGACCCAACAGGACCCTGTACCTGTGACCACGTTATACCGTAGCGTCGCTCTGCTAATTGAGCTACAGGTCGTTCTTTGTATTAGGTTTTTTCGGCTTTCAACGCCGTAAGCACCGTCGTAAAAATCACGATGTTTTTCTTTGATATTAAATCATTTAATTTTTTATCCTTTTCAAATACCCTATTATTCGACTTTCTTATAAACAGCCTTCAAATGCTCAGTCAAAGGAGTCTTATCTGTTTCCATAAATAATGTTAGTTCCAATGTATCCGGGCTTAATAACTTAAAAATTCTCTTATACTTCTTGACAAATGGTGGCTTAGCGAAAGAGATTCTGGTGACCTCTACAGTTTCCAAGGTCAATTCCTTTTTCACCGGGTCGCAAAGCCCTTCTTCCAGAGACGCGAGTCCGAAATTATGGCTTACAATTAATGCAAGCTCATTTGTACCTGGTTTGATGCGGAGGAATCCTCTTTCCTGGTGCATTGGAATTTTCTTCTCTGGATGTTGGGAGACTGTCATATAGTTGAACATTGGTTGACCTGCAACAAATAAAATAAAAAATTTAATTATGTTGCAAACTAAAGATTTCCGAAAGACTCTGGGACCTATCAACTGGGAACCGGAGGGCCAGATTCCATAGAAAGAGCGAAGAACTAGTGTCTGGTCCAAATATAATCAGAGAAGTAAAATCCGCCGGAATTCGTTGGATGGGGCATGTGGAAAAAATGGGAGAGGATCGAGCAGCCAAAAGAGCGTATTTGGGGCCACCTACCGGACATCGCCCAGTAGGACATCGGAGACATCCTTGGAAGGATAGAGTCGCAAAAGACCTGAAGGATCTGAACATGGCCGAATGGTCGGAACTGGTATAAGACCGTAAGAAATGGCGTACTTTGGTGTCGGACGCCAAGATCCACTTCGGGACGCCGAGCTAGAGAAGTATGTTGCAAGCACTGTTGAGGACAATCTATGTAGCAGTGAGTGCGAGCGCTAGGCTTCGAGCGCTCTGATTGGCTTAGGCTTCAAAATGCGAAACAAAATTCCATAGAAAGTTAGAATTGGGTCATTCCAAAATATCCGGAAAAATATTTATTTATTTGATTATCGACGAGCAGCTTTCGCTGGTATGTCTACACCACATAGTATTAAAATTTATATTGTTTGTTTTAGTTCACTTTTTTAACACACTCTCTTTTATAGCCAGTTCTCGAGCTTGTTTTTAAAGGCACTAATAGAGACAGCAGAAACAACATCTTCAGCATGTTCCAATTATGCACAACTCTGTTGCTGAAAAACTTATGTGCAGCAGGTGTTTTGGAAAGTGCACAAACTAGTTTGAGATGGTAGCCATGTGATGGTTTTAAGTTTTCTTTTCTTTTAAAGATATTTTGTATTGCTGGTAGATTGTAGTGATTCATCAGAATTTTATAAGTCTCATTGATTTAAACTTACATTTGTAAATATCTTTCAATTTATCATCTAATTTTAGGTGAACATTTAAATGTTTTATTTTCTAATGTTTACGAATGCTTTGATTTACAATATACTGTCCGTAACCAAAAAATGCATTATTTGTATTTCTATCTGTTCAGGACGAAAACGTGTTCGCGCCCATATGATTTATAATATTGT